TGAAGTCCACACATCTTCAAGTTTCCAAGTTTGAAAAACACTGGTCTATGTGGTGTAAAAATGCATAACTTGCCCAGATGTTGTTACCTAGTTGGGTAATGAAACATCTGCAAGCAAACAGCCAAGTTCAAAGAGCACCAAGAACTCCACAAAAATGCATCTTTGGGGACAAAAGACAGCACGAGTTTCCCCCAGCAGCTGTTCTCTGATCCTTTTTCCTGCGGCTGCCCCAGACAAAAGCAAGGACTTTTGTATGCAGAATACAAGGACATCATGGGACTATTGCAGTGATTCACTGTTTAGAGGTAAGAATATCCTGCAAGCAGCTTCCAAATTAAATCTTTACAAAAGTCCAGTAACAATATCCAACAAATCAAACAAGGAGGGAATGGAATGGCTAAAATACAGCTAAGAACCAAGAGCAGCTCAGTAAAACTGGTTGTTTGAAAAAGTAAGAGAAAAGAAGCAAGTTTTTCACATTAAACAAATGGGCAATGATAATAAAATGCGCAGCACCAGTACTGATATGCCTGTAGATGCTCTTCCACTGGCATTAGTGTCATACATAGCACATTCAGTATCCTTACACTCTTTGATTGATTGATATGTGCTATGAAGTCAGTGTCAGCTCTTAGTGATCACACAGACTTTCTCCAGGAGGATCTGTCCCTAACCCGGCCTTTCAGGTCTCCCAACAGGTCACCCATCACCTCTGTAACAGAGTCCCTCCACCTTGCTGCTGGTCATCCTCTTCTTTTCTTTCATTCCGCCTTTGCGAGCATTACAGAATTCTCCAGAGAGCTGGGTCTTTGCATCATGTGTCTGAAGTAGGACAATTTGAGCCTGGTCCATTTGTGCCCCCTTCAGAGAGAACTCTGGGTTTATTTGTTCAATAATATCGAAAATACACTCTTAGGAATTAGCAACTTCAGTTTAAATGGAAGTGGAGATTTTCAGTCCTCTAAATCTTTTCCACAGCCATGCCATCCTGTTCCTTCAACAAGAAAACCAAGGATGGAGGTAAGTCAACCTTTCCACACTCCTTCAGATGAGAAAACGGAACACAGTCATAGATGCTGAATGGCCAGCTCTCCCACCACCAGCTTATCCTCACAAAAGCGGCTTGCGTTTCTCCTGGGGTAGCCCCAGACCTTGCTGTTCCTTTGAGTTACTTATTTTATTTATAAGCCACCACGCTCCACACAGACCAATGGCAGTGTATGGTACAAAAACCACAAATTATGATAACAGAATAAACCTGAAATAATAATCCTTAGGACTGTCAGCACCTTTCACGAATTATTAGAGGCACAAATAATTGTAATGACAGACTTTAAATAAGTGCGCTTCTTCCTCACCTTGTCCTTACTGAGCACCTCCTTGGCCAGTTCCACCAGACGCCGGACTTTTGCAGCAATGCAGAGGTACTTGAAGAAGCGCTGGTGAGCGCCCCAGAACTGTCCCCACAGAGACTTCCGAGACTCCAGGCCAATGTGGTCTGCAGCTTTTTGGAAAACCACCAGAGCTTCTGCCCACTGCCGACAGGAGAAAAGGAGTGTTTTATTTAGCAGTAACAGTAGGACTATTAGTACTTTCTTTGGTGTGAGGTATATACAACCCTGTGAGAGAGCTTGGGCTGAGATAAGGAC